ATCAGAAAATTAGCTTTTCAAACAGGATAAATAAACAAATAATATTAAAACAGGATAAATGAAGCTAGCATTAACTGACCTGGAGCAAATTCAAAACGTATCGGTCTGTGCTTAAAAGCCAGGTTCATTCTAGAAAACCGACTTAATTTAAATGAACGACCAGTGGAGCTGAAACGAGCTCTCAGACACCCCCCAGCTAGTGATTGCTAAACAAAAGCACAAAAAGAAATTTAATCAAATATTAGATTAATTGGATGCAGCCTGTGTGTTTCAGCCAGACTCCGCAATAATAAAGAGTCACACGGCATCTGAATTAGTTTAATAGCTGAACAAATGTGAGGCATTTCCAGTGAAGCTGAGTCAATTTTATTATGTGTATCGGGCAAAGAAAAGCTGAGGTAAACATTCTTGAGATGAAACTCCTGGAAAGTTTTTCTGACAGTAAAATAAAGCTGTGCAGTGGAAATCTGTGTTAACATCTACGTTTACCCTCCGACCTCAGCGGCCCTGGGTGAGTCTGACCCGGTGCCTCCTCAGTGACTTAAACGTGACGCGTCAGGGTAAATGTTGGGAATATTGCGCTGTGGGTTCGACAGGCTGATGCTTTATGCAAACAGCCCTGAAGTTCCCCGCAGGCCTCCTCACCGCGCGACTCCGGTGAGTTACTTGTCCCCCGCTGGAACAGCCAGGCAGCTGCCGCGGACACACGCAGTCAGCTGTGCGTCAATCACCATCTTCCTGCAGTGGCTGTGTGTGTGTGTGTGTTTTTCCACAGGAGAGCCAACTCCAAACTTTGCAGTAAAGCTCTTTGGCTGGCTGCTATCTGCCATTAAGCAGACATATCCCGGAGCATCAGAAGAGGTGAGCGGCCGCCGCTGCTGAGGTAAGGTCACAGAGAGAGAGAGATCCAGTTCTCAAAGTGAAGCTGCACTTTTATTTCTGCAGCAGCGGATCTGGAACGAGGTCTGCAAATTCACCTCGGCTGCTGAGGAGCACAGGCCCTTAAAACACACACACACACACGCGCACACACACACACACACACACACACACACACACACACACACACACACACACACACAATTCAACACGCAGTCAGGTGTGGAAACAATGAAAACACACGAGCTCTGATTTCAGCTCGCCTGGTTTGTTTATGACATCCTATACGTTTCTGAATCTCTTCTTCGAATCATTTGTCAGGAGTTTCCAGCAGGATTTGAACGATGGACGGATAAAAAGTGCAGAGCTGGTCAAAAGTTCACATGCGGTCATTATCAGTGTGAATCTTGGCTGCTACGGTTGGATCCTTTTCTTCCCTGTGTGGACGTGTTATACACCAAACAGCCAAAATATATTAATTACCTGCATTTTAGTGCCATATTCGGCAAATTACAAAAATATTTAAAGAATTTTTGAACAATTTTAAAGTTTGTTTAGTCTTAGTTCAAGTTAACAGATATTTGCGCCAGTCTAAACCAAAACTACTTGGTGAGACTTTGTGTTTTTGCAGAGTAAAATGCAGTGACACCATTCCTTTAGTGAACTCTTCATCTCCTAGTTGAAGAGTTTCAATATTTTTGTACAGTCTTGTCTTCATTTTTGCTCTAAGTATGTTCTTTCACCAGTTGACCTTTTTCTTTTGGAGTCTACACACTCCACTTAACGATTAATCGATTACTAAATTAGTTGTCGATTATTTGGTTGATCACTATTAATCGTTCCAGTTCCAATTGATTAAAAATGAATGTGAAGAAGGATGTTTGGTCAAAAGTCCCTTACAGAGCGGCAGAGAAACCACCAGCTTTTTGCTGCTATTGATGAGGCGTCTAAATATTTAATCAATCTTCTGTTCAGGATTGATGGAGATCCTTCAAATTGTTTGGACAGACCCAAAGTTTCCACAGGGTTGATGTCAGGATCGATCCACATCTTAACGTTGCCATATTCTTCCCAAAAACAATTTATGTATTTATTTTTTCTATGTGTGTGTTTTAACATCGAGTTTCAATCGTCCGTCTGCTTTGTGCCGAAGTGGAAGAACCTGGAGATCCAGTGTCTGAATGCAGCCACGGCTTCGCGCTCGCCCTGACCTCCACTCTGCTGGAAAATTTATGAACTATGACTAAAAGCTGAGTGGGAGCCAGGAAATCGCCCAATTTAAAAAACTGCAGAGGGAAGTCATCAAATATCTGGCCAGAAGTCTGGCAGAGAGGCTGCTTTCCTGCTGTGCACGGAAATTTGACCAAATATTAGCAGAGGAACTTTTATGTGCATAATTCTTATTAAATTAGAATTAATTGTTGACCAATTGGAAATTTGTGGCGATTCAAATGCGTCTTTCAGAGACTAGAAAACTAGAAAGTTGATGTTCATCAGCTGGAAAGTTTTCTCCCTTCTTTCTCCTGGTCCGAGTCTGAAATCGGCTGCGTTGCAGCGCCATCAGAGATCCGTCTCTCTCTGGTGATCTTTGCATCCGATCCAGTTATTAGGATCGGGAATCTGGATGGCAGCGCCTCCAAGCCGAGCTCAGACCATTTGCTTCGTCTGTTCCCAGTTTTCTCCTCTCACTCCTTGGGTGATTTGTATGCCGGAGCAGCAGCGGGGCCGAGAAAGCCTCACAATCCAGCAGCGATGGGATGGATAATGCAGTAAGAGCTTTTTTTTTTTTTTTTCCTTTTTTTAAACCGACTCGATACGTGAGCAAGGATGTTTAGATGCATCGCAGTGGCTCCTCGTCACACGACGGGGCAGACGAACGAAAGCAGACGTGTTGAAAGCGGCGAAGCAAAATGAGCAGAAAATATGATTTGCTGCTTTTCAAAAATGAGGTGGTATTTTTTTTTCTGGGTTTCACAGCAACAGGCGGGGGATGGAAAAAAAGTATTTCCTTTCATAGAGAAGCTCCATCACAAGGCCGAGGGAAAGAGAGGATCAGGTTGTGAACTCTGCTCTACTCAGCTTCAGACTCTGGGTTCTGCAGGATGAGCTGCATCTTGAAAATGTGTTTTTATTTATTTTTTAAACCCAGCAGGACCTGCATACAGCGGAGCGTTTCCGTCTCCTCACGCCAGAAACCGGACTTTATGTAACAAATTATTAATCTAAATAGTGTGGCGTGTCTTTGTTTTTTGTTTTTTGGTCCACTTTGGTGAAACGACTCTTGCTTACGCTGCCAAAACACAAAATCTAACCCAAGTGTTCATGTCGTTTCCTTCAGTGGTTCTTGGTGCAGCGCCACCACAAGCGAGGAGGAGAATGGGTTTCAGTTCAGTGTGAAGGCAAGTCGCACAAGCTGAAAATGTGACGAAATGTTTCAACTTTTGTCCCCAATCGAAGCAAAACTACCGGACTAACAGGTGCAAAAACATCCTGAAACTGACAAACTTGGTCCTGATGGCTAAGAGTTTGACCACCACGGTGCCTGCATGGCCTGTGTCCAACTGGATACGGGACTCCTTTTCGTAAAAATCTGATGTTTGACGCTTTCTGCTCGTAGCTGTCCTGCCAGCAGATTTTTCCACCTGAGCGGTGGCTCTCTGTAGCTCCCACAGTGCTCCCATGGGCCTCTTGACTGCTTCTCTGAGTACTGCTCTCCTGGGCCACACTGACAAAATGACAATGGACCTCCAACTAAAAAAACAAACAAAAAACTGCTAATTTGTTACATGCAAATTCAAATCCGTCAAATTTACTGTATTTACGTTTGTTCAACACGACGACTTCATTTATTTACTTGGACGACCCGAATTTGATGACTTGTAGCAGATGAACTCAATTATTTCTAATCGCCGGTTCTCTTTCTTCGGTGCAGCCTGACGTTTGGGTGGGTGCGCTGTCCTAACACGCTGCTCCCCGTTTCCAGATGATGGATCGCTGGATAGTCAAAGCTCAGGACTTTCTCTACAACTGTATCCGACCCGTCTGGTCTGGTCCTGATGGGAAGACGATCAGATACACGGACAAAACACTAAGTCGTTTGTGACTCCTCGTAATCATCCAATATCACATAAAGTACTGATAAGATCTTTCTTTGTGTGAGTGAATGAAGAGGACAGTAAGACGTTGAAGGTCTATGACGACATTAGCGAGGCGCTGCCTCGGCCCGCAGGGATCACGGATCGTCTCGGTTACAGCCTGAGGAGGCTTTTAGAAACACTCCAGAAAAGGGCTGTAAAGGATGGAGGCGGGGAGAAAGGTGGGAGCACTGACCCCAAACTGTGAAAGTGGAGAAAATGGATGACTGCGCTCAACATACGTACTGTACATTAGAGCGGCGCCACAAATAGCTGACGGGCGCGTTTCTTCAAAAGTCGCACACTCGGATTTCGACAGTGACCTCAAGATGCTGGGAAAAAAAACAGAAAGACGGATTTATAGGAAACATAAAAAACGCTCCCCCTGTTAAAACCGACCGAATCCGGCTCTGTGCGTCACATTTCAGGACAATAAGCACATTGCTGGTGTAGCATCCCGTTGGAGGCTTCTTGGCACAGACTTCTCCTCAGAAGCAAGAAAAGCGTGGAGTGTGTTCTTCAGTCGACGATGCCCGGCTCCTGGAGGCACAAAGCGATTATTTAGTGGGTGGATGAAATGGATTATCACTCAGTTGTCATCCTCCTACTGTACTACGGCGCTTTGAGACGCCGCATGGGGACGGCGTCTCGCTCCGTCTCACCAAATCAGAAGGACATTCCGGTGAAAACTTTGCAAACGTCACAGCCGCCCGAGCCTGAAGACAGATGGCCTCCATCCAGGCTGCTCCGAGCCCAAAGACAATTTAATGGCCGGCTAATTTCCCACTTGAGGGAAATTATTAAAACGTCTAAAAGACGGTCGGCTGAAACCGGGTCCGTCGTTTTCCCCGGGGATAGAAACGAGTCAAAGAGACCCGAGGTGTGCTGCTGAGAATGATCGATTCCAATAATCGTGAGAGAAACTGATTTTAGAGAAATAATTCAACTTTATTCCATTAAATGAAAACAGGTTCTTATCCTCAGACATGGAGGGAGGTAAAAAGATCGGCTTTATTGAGATGAACACGTAAAACCAACAGAAACAAATCAACACACAAACAGAACGAGTAGCACAGTTTTTATTAAAACGAAAGACAAAAAAAGAAATCAAGCAAGAAGGATTTTGTCTGCTCATTGAAGAAGAGGGCTTGTTGTTGTACAGTCGACACCTTCCGTCACCTGGGAGGCCTTGCATGAAACTCAGCTAAACAACACGAAAATAAACGCTTCTTCCTCTGAGGAGGGAATCTGGAGAGGGCGAAGCACGAGGCGAGACGATCGACGCGTGAGAGCTTTCAGCCGTGTGAACGAAACAATTATTCCGATCCATTTCACGGGCTGCTGGGTATTTTAGATACGCAGGAGCGATTTCGCACGCAGAGTGTCAGCACCGTCTGATCCGAGGCTTCCCACACCGCCGCGGACAGACGGGGGCTTACAGACGATCCGCGTGGGGACGGGAGGGAAGAGAGGCGCCTGTAAAACATCGGGTTGAGGATTTCCGTCAGCGTATCGGCGAGCCTCACTTTGCAGCCATTGTGGCTCTCTGGAAAATAAATACGAACGGGTCGATCGGAAAAGTCAGTTTCAGACAGAATCCACTGAAATAGACGCCACTACAGCACAAACTCCATCCCCAAGAACAGGAACCGGAGGTTTCTCAGCTCCATTAAACGAAGCCGAGGCTTTTTCATTTAGTGCAAAGGGCACTAATGAGATGCAGATGAATGTTACTCCATCCAGCATAATTCATCTTCAGCGGCAGAGAAACCCTCTGAGAAGTCTGAAACAACAATCATTTTTCTCCCTTGCAGCAGTACATCAATCTCAACCCCAGAAAACATATGCAGCTGTGTTTTAAATAACACTTAAGTAACACTAACTACGTGCTGTAGCTTTAGCTTTCACACACAAGCTCTCTGCAAGTTCACAAATGGATTATAAACACCGAGAGTGAAGGAAAATTGATCACGTTTGCTCTCAATGGCTTTCGTTGACCATTGCCTGACTGGGATACCAACACCACAACGCCTCGGCAACCCGTTTTCCCAGTGTACTGCCACTTTAAATTTAGCATTAGATGGTTGTCTGACAAAACATATGCGCCATTTTTGTCTTCAGGGCAAACATGACGTCTTTGTTTGCCCCATTGGTTCTGAGCAATGGGGTTCTGTTGGGGCTACTTGCTGATACCTTTGGTTCACAGAGACATCTTTATTGCTTCACAGGTAACGTAAATGTTCTTTGATCATTGACTGATCAGACACCCTTCAACCTACCAGGATGGTAGTTCATTATTTTCTTCCACGTCTTTCTGGTTTTGGTTGGATTTTTCAAGCATCTGAGATGATTTTAGGTAAGCGGTCGATTGTTTTCTGCATTTCTTTATATACTTTTCTGTCTCCAGGTAAGTTTTTAATCAGTTTGTTCTCTAGGAACAGCCCATTTTATTCAGATGCTCTATAACCAGGATGAACAACATTTACTGTTCGACACCATTTGTTCATGACGACTGTTGGGTTTTCTATTGCTTTAGTCTCCTAGCTAATGGTTTACCATGACAGTTGCTGGTGTGACTGGTGTCATCCTTGAACATCACATTCAGGTTAAAATCCGTAGCAAGTGTGTGGATTAGCAGCTCAGCTTGTAAAGACAATGCAGAGCTTGTCGGACAGAGATGTGGAGCATACCGAGCACTGACAGACTAATCCTCAGAGTCATGTAGATTATTATCTGGCTCATAAACTATTTATGGCAGACTTTGTTTGAAGTCTGGCCGAGATTCCTCCGTTGAGCCAAAGAGCGGAAAAGGCACTTGACAGTAGCATTCTGTCTGGTTTATAAAAAGGTCAAATTAACTCTCAGCTCCGGGACTCTCTCACAAGCTGAACGTGCCTTTCCCTCTGACGGAGAGAACCCGAAACGCAGCGATCCATATGCAGGGCGTCTTCCCGCCGCAGACTCTCTGAACTTCGGCGGGAATCCTGCCGGAGTTCAGGGACATCTGCATTCCGCCTGTCGGCCCCAGTCAAGGAGAGCCACGGCGACAACAAAAGGCCCAAGCTTCATCTGGACATGGCGGGAACCGCCGAATGTCCCCACTCCACGCCTGTGGCGGCCCGGATTCACTGGGAGTCGGGGAACAATCGGCTTCTCTGCCTGGAGGTGAAACGCTGCGAAACTGTTGCATCTTTCAGCTCTGTCCTTTACTTCTCCTTTATTTATTTATTTTTGTTCAGACCTCAAAAGGTGGGGAAGATGTCTGAGCTGGCAGGTTGTAATCACTGCGCAGCTCTGAAGGAGTCGCACATGTTCCTTCACATCACCGACGCCAACAGAAATAACAGTTCAGATACTTTCAGTTTCTGTGTTGCTCCTCGGCTCGGCAGCTGCTCTCATTACTCAAATGACACGCAGTTCCAGGACGGGGAGAGGCCGGGTCGCTCGGGCGGCGCTGTGAGCAACTTGCAATGAAGGTGAGCATCACCGTCTCGCCGCTGCTCTTGTTGCTCTGGAAACGGAGCCGCCTCCTTGGCCGCTTCGGCTTTGGTTTGTAAGCAGGACAGGACACAAAGATTGGACGGTGAAAAGGTTCAGATTCTGAGTCAGAACTCAGGTTGAATTTGCAAACAAACAAAGAAAAATGAATACGAAAGAATAAATGTAAAAATAAATCAGAAAACGGCCCTTTTTCCCCCTTTGGACGTTGACAGTCACTGAGAATCCTTGCAAAAGTATTCATGCCATTCAAAAGTTTTTTCCATTTTGTCACGTTAAAGCTTCAAACTTTGAGGATTTCATGAGACAGAACAACGCAAGTATTGCTACTAAGTACAACATGTATCATATATCATTTTGGTAAATGCATTCCACACCTTTTTGTATCTGAAGGAAATATTGAAAGACTCGTTAGTCTGCTGCATAAAAATGTGCCATTAATTTAACTTGATTAGGACAGTACACATTAATCAACATCACCGCATGTCATGGCAGTGTGACGTTTCTCCTTTTGTCCTAATACAAGTAAACAGTCCCAATAGAACACACTGATGTTTGTGGTTCTAACGTCACAAAATTTGGACTAAATACTTTTGGGAAGAAGTGTAAATCTGACAGCTGTTTGCCTTCCAAGAGAGCATAAACAATTACCGCTGAAAAAACTAAACTTATGCAATACTACTACTAATAATAATAATAATAAAAGAAGAAAACTGGAGTTTGGTCAATTATCCGTGACACGTTAGAAAAACTTCAACAGAGAAATGACTGCAGTGTCTTTAAAACTCCCACTCTGAGCTCCTGTGTTCCTCCCACGCAGCTATTTTCATTAACGCTGCCTGATTAGAACCGTTTTTAGAGCTCCATGTAGGCGGACGCAGGCTGAAGCCGTCTGACATCTCGTTCGCCTCGGCACCTTTAGGCCCGAGACGGCCAGAGGAGTCCACCGTGGACCCCTTTCGGTCCGTCACAGTAGGACATCTGGCTAGATTAATGATCCAGTGTCAGTATTAGGGTTTGGGTTGGGGAGTGAAGACGCAGCGGGACCCCGAATCCCGACTGGAACTGTGGGGATCGATCCTGTTACTCTCAACTGTGGTCAAGAAGTGCCCCGGTAAACACACGCAGCAACATCAAAGTTTTATTCTGCACCTCCAAGTCCGGCATATCTCTGAGGGAAGAGATACGGCCTCTTTCCACAAGTTACATCACATTTTTATTCATCCTCAACCATTTCCCCCCCATCTTTTAGAAACAGAAACTTATTTAAACGTATTACTGACAGAACATCTATTCAGATGAGAAGCGGCAGTCGATTGTACCGCGGCGGTCCGAGCGAGGGGTCTGCGTCCGGCGTCGCCCCGCCTCCCACTAGGACTTACTGGAGCCGGGACTTTGCTCCATGGCGATGAAGACGAGACACACTCCCGCGGTCAGCAGCAGGTGCATGGACTCGTACAGCAGCTTGGGCGAGAAAACGCTCCAGATGAAGAGGTGGTAGCGCAGGACCGTCACCAGGACCACGTAGGCGGCGGCCGGCACCGACCTCAGCAGGGCCAAGCAGTAGCAGCCGTGGCCCACGGCGACCGGGCTCCTGTGGGGAGAAGAGGACCAATCAGAGAGGCTGTGGTTTCTGCGTTTCGTCTCTTCTCTTTCTGCGGGTTAGTGGCCGACTGTTGGTCTCTCTATGCTACTTTCTCTCCTTTACTCCCATTTCCTTCCTGTGTTTCAAAACTTTTGTCTCAACGTTTCTCCTTTTCTTTTTAAGCAAATCTGAACCCAAAGCAACTTCTAATAAAGTTTCATACACATATCAAGTGGGGCATAGTGGCAAAATATTTCAAACTTAAACTTTTGAATTTGAAATTTTCTGTTTTTTTTTGGTAGATTTCTTAGCTGTTTGGCCGACATTCCCTCCGTCTGCTGGCCCTAATACGTCGTCGTATTTGATCCCGTGACTCGTGCTGCAAGAAACGTTTCCACTGCCGTTTGGAGGAAAGCCGTCACGTAGCAGTTGAATGAGCACATTTTTATTGATTTAGTTTTTCTGTGTAGAGCAGATTAATAATGGTTGGAGGTATTGCTCACTGCTTGATTCATTGTTGGTCAGAGTCAGTGTGGATGTGAACGTATCTGTCCTCCTCCTCCTCCTCCGAGGAGCTCGACGACCTGCCGTCTTTACTCAGGAGGCGACACGCGGCTCCTCCCCCTCAGCTGGGACGCTGCCGGCTGTGATTAGCTGCAGCCCTCTGCTAATTTACAATGGTGTTTCGGAGATGAATTTTAGGTATGAACGCACACAGAAAAACTTGGCGTGTTTGGCTTTACGTCCTCCGCTCCTAATCTCCTGGCTGCGTCTCGTCGTCTCCTCCTGCTGGTTTTAAAGTCATTAACTTCCTAATCAGAATTTGCCGGCAATCTGCATTATTGTGGGAAGATAATTGGATCAGACTCTCTATCTCTCTCTCGCTCACGTGTGTGTGTGTGAGAGAGAGAGGGAGGGAGAAATATGAGTTATGCCGTTCACTGTTAATGATCAAACAATCTTTCATGAATTAGATCGAGACGTAAAGCAGCTTAGTGCGTCTTTGCTTTCCATCAAAGTTTTTCATCCTCTGGAAGTTTGTCAGTCGGCTGCCATGTTCTCCTCTCAATAGTTTTTGAATGTATTTCCTATTTTCTCATTATGTGCTGTCCGGCGGTGAGGTGCTCAGACGTCGCTGCGTTTTCATTGACCATGTAATTGCGCAAATTGGAATTAGAAAAATCTATTTACTTAATGGAAACATGGCAATTAAAACCCCCCAAAAGGTGGCTTTTTGTTTTTTGCTGGATCAAAATTAGTTTTTTTAGAACTGGTACTTTTTCAAAATCAATATTATGAATTATTTACTTAAAATAAGCTCCTGTTTCCAGCTGAAAAGTGACTTGTAAGTCAGCTTTGTCTTGTTTCAAGTAAACCAAGATATTTGGACAAGAAACCAGACAAAAAAAAGAAAATCTTTGGTAAGATTTTGTGTTTTTGCAGTGTAGGCTATAAATTTGGACTGAACCAGGTGAGTCATTTCACAGAACAACACATGGCATAATTCCTGAACTTAATTGTTTCTTCTCCATCTATGGATTATGTTGATTGTTGCCAAGACGCGGTGAAAATTTCATGTCAATATTAGAAATAGATTTGCTATGAAAATGTTGACGTGTTCTAATATTTTTGTACTTGATCTGATGGAAGAAGTAAAAATCTATCAGCATCAGTCGATGCTTCTTCAGTCCTGACTGAAACACGGAGAGCTAAAGGTTGGTTCCTCTGGAGAGGAACGCCGAAACGTGATCCACGTCTTCAGCCCCAGGAGTTCAGAGTTACTGGTCATTTCTAACAAAGAACAAGCGCCGACAGCTAAAACGACAACAAAAAGCATCAAAAGGGATTTTTTTTCTCCAAGATGTGGTCGGGGACTTCAACCATGTAGAACATCTGGACACTTGTAGCTTTTCCCTCGTCCAGCAGATCTTTACAAGCACCGAGGAAACGGTGTGTGTAACAGCAGACAGGAGGCCTGCAGAGTCACCAGTGCTGCAGAAATGTGGAGCAGAGACGTTATTGAAGCCGTTCAGTTTGGTGAAACCAGAGAGACTGGAGCTGGACACTGAGACCAAAACAACACTGGATTCAAACCGTGTGTTTTGTTATCAGTAATTATGATCTAGCAGTAGCTGCGTTTCCAACGCAGTTTGCGCAAGTTGAATAGGTGATTTCCTGTGATGTTGAAGGTATGTCAAGCCCTAAAACGTAAACAAACTGATTGTGCTCCACATAAGACAACAATCTGATGAAATCTCCATAACTAAACTAAGGAGTCGAGTTGACAGACAGAAGAAAATGTCCAGGTCTGTCAAAAACCTCCCAAAACTCTAGAGAAATGTGCTATTATACCCCAGACTTAAACTTTTTCTGACAAGCTAGAGCTTTTAACACCCATCAGTTCTGGTGCTGAACCTTCAGGTGGGTGTTAGGAAACTGAATTATTTTCTTTTAAATCTTTAGAAGAGAACATTTGGTTTCTTCACAGAGAAATCTGAGGAGCATCGGCCAGACGCAGTCCAATAAAGAGGTCAATGTCACCAGATTAACAGGCGGGACGCTACAGACCAATAGAAAGATGGCTGAATTTAAATCAAAAGGTGTTTTTACCAAATATTAGTTTAAGGAAACTTCTAAATTTCTTTCATTGACAATTTTTACTAGAAATGACAAGAACGGTAAGAATGATCCAGTATATCGATACCAAGTTGGTATCAGTATCGGATTGATGTTAACGTGCTGAGGTTGGTACTTCAGTTTCAGACTCCATCTTGAAAATTTGGTTTATTTTTGTATGGTAGTTTCTCAACCCAACCTTAATTTTCTTTTTTTTTTTGTTTGATTTGTTCACAAATGACAGTTAGCACACAAACATGTTGATGTTCGCAAAACATTTATTAAATAGCTACAAACTTTGTCAAAATGATTGTTTCACTTTTGACATATTAAAAATGTCTTGTTGTAAGTTAAATAACCAAGTGGAACTAGAACTGCTTCATCAATATTACAGGAATTATTCACTTATAATAAGCTCCCAATTATTGCTGGAAAGCTACCTGTAAGTTAGTTGTCTTATTTCAAGTGTACAAAAATGTTTGAACTAAAAAAAGAGAAAAAAAAAACTTGGTAAAATTATGTTTTTTCAGTGTAGTAAACCACCCAAAGGTGAAAAATTTTGTGAAATATCAGACTGTGTTAAAAAGTATCAGTATCGGTATTGGCGATACGGTGCCTGTATTTACTGGGTATTGATATTGAAACAGGTGGTATGTCACACCGATAGTGATTATTGTCGATTATCGCCACACCCTGAGCTCAACTAGTCAATCTTTGTTGAAGGTTTCGATTCAATTTCTCAGTTTTTTTCCCCCCAAGTTTGAATCCAGTTGTGTGTTTGTGCCAATCTGATGCAGATTGGTGAGGCACACACTCTGCACTGCTGAGTCATCATTACAGCAGGAGGTAAAATAACCTGTGGACTGGCGCAGAGTAAACAACCCCTGCATCAATGTGTAGGGGGAGCAGAAGAAGAGGCTTGCAGACGCTGCACTGCCTCTCCCCTCTTTTATCAAGGAGGCTGTGGTGGAAATTGTCTCCCATTTTTAAGTAACTCATGGAAAAAAAAAAAATAATAATAATAAAACAAAAACCGATGCAGAGGGAGCGTCGTAAAAAAGGCCCATTAGCAACTGTGTATCCTCAGGAGTCTGAAGCAAACTGTCCTCACAGCACTCCGGTATTGATGGGAGTTTTTACCCCGCTGGAAGCTGAGGTGCACCTTCCCCCTCCCGCCACCCCGCCACCTGGAACAGGAAGTGCTCTGCTGCTGACAGGTAGGCTGCTTTAAATCTGCACAAACAAATGACACAGCAGCCACTGGAGCAGGTGCGCCGCAAAAACACTCAATCTTAGCAAGTGTTTTTGGCCTGGTTTCTAGTGCAGGTATGTCAGTGCACTTAAAATGTTAAATAAGTGACTTTTCTGCAAGATGAGTGTTTGTTTTAAGTCAATAATTTCATAATTTTGACCAAAAAAAAGTAAAAAACTGAAAACTTGACATTAGATATTTCTAATCTAATCCAATCTCAATGCAGAGGCTGAAATTAGATATCAATTGATCAGATGTCCTGCTACGATCAATACATCAAAAACATGTGTGGCTTCAATGACATCATGTCAATTCCTACCTTTCTGCCACAATCGATGAGTTCAGCCATCAGTTCAGATTGGATTATTACTATCGACTCTGTTCCCAGCTGTGATGTCAGCCCCGCCCTCCACGGCTCGGTGAGTCCGGTTCTGCAGAACCCAAACTGCCGGAGTCCGCCGAGCCGCAGCTGAAAGTTTGCTCTGGTGAGTCACTCCAAAAACTCCTACTGAGTCGTGAATGTTTTATAATCTCTTTGAGCTGGTTTCAGTCTCATCTGTCGGCTCACTAAACGAGATTCATGACAAATATCTCTAGTTTACAAAACAACTTAAATGCTCTAAGAAGAGCTGGAAAGACCAACTCAACGGAAAACCGATGAATAATAGATACGGTGAGTAAAACCCACTGGCTGTGAATCTTCCACTGGCTTTTCAAGTATTTTTAACAAACAAAACTTGAATGAAACGGTTAAATATTTCCTTTTCTCGCCGGGGTTTCTGTCAGAATATGAAGTCTTTCACAGACAAAAGCAACAATTTGTTGAAATAATGACAAGGCTGGAAGGAAACCGGCAGAGCGGCCGTTGATCCAGTGCTTCCTCCTCCCCCTCCTTTATGGTCACTGCTGAGGCTGCAGAGCGAATCCTTAATGAACTTGGACTATTTTTTGTTTCATTCGTCACAATACCTCTGAGTGCATAATGCAGCAGGGGCCGCTGCAAGGGAGCGCCGCGTTGCGACTAATAAGGGATAATAAGGAGTGACGCTCGCTTTTTTTGCCCGCCGCTGTAATCCGGCATGTAATGTATTAAAGCTGGATTTAATGTGACAGGAGAGGAAACACGGGAAACTTCCTGCAGTCTGGTTGTGGAGGCAGACGTGTTCGGGGACGACTCGCGAAATGAAACCGATGGTCAGGGTTCTGATGAAACCACAGAAAGCGATCCGACACCGGCAGATGTCAGATCTTCCAGAATCTGACCTGCACCAGAGGAAATACCTTTGGTTCCCGTGTTTCTACGGTTTCCTTTTCCTGGAGTTACTTTCAGACATCCAACAATTTTGATGCCCCAACTCTGAACATGTACCTTCAGACTCTGCTGAGTGACGCAGTGTGGGTTGATGAAAGTCCACTCATGAGACGCTCTCTTGTCCAATCGAAAGAGGTAGACCGGTGGCAGGGCAGTCCACCAGCAGCCCAGTGTTTTATATAAAAAAATATTACAAATTTAGAGGCGGATGAGTCGGCATCATAATAGCGTGTGAGACCAATAGCGGAGGTACAAAACGGTGCACCCACACACCCGGCTCATTGAATCATCCAATAAATGAAAAAAAACATCACTTAACCTGATGGGAGAGCAAGTGAAGCCTGGTGGCCCGCCAGGCTTACGACACACATTTGACCAAAAAAAAGTGTATGCCTTCACATTCATGAAGGCATACAGAATATGCCTTCATGAAGCTATACTGGCCAGAATTTATGCTCGGAAATGACCCTACATGTGACAAGGGTTGAGATCCTGGTGAATCGATTAATCATCAACCACTGGAGTTGAAACTTAAAAATAGGACTGGAAGAAACCAACATATTCAGAGCTGTGGTGAAGCTACTGCTCTGAAAACTCTTAAAAACAAACATATAAATGAGTAAATAGATAAACAGAACCTGCGGGTCCAGCTTACCTGGCGCCAACAACACTGATGCTGAAACGCTTTGTTGATCAGACCAGAAATCTGCAGCCTCTCATTTCTGCTCCTGGCATTTTAAAGACTGACTGACTCATTTCACACCCGGAGCATCTTTGTCTCTATTTTCACTTCATTTTAGTTTTGGCGTTCGGCATCAGAACAGCTGTTAGGACAGATTCAAGCCTCATCACTCAGCACTGTGCATTTGGGCCTCATGCTGAGGGAGAGCCCTGTTTATTAGCTGCCTGTACACACACACACACACACACACACACACACACACACACACACACACACACACACACACACACACACACACACACACACACACACTTACCTAGTCACTGGCCTCTCTCCAGATGAGGTGCCTTGCTGTGCAATGTTGACTTTTGTGTTATAAAAATCATTTATTTCAGAAAATCTTTGTAAGTTACTTCAAAGTAAAAATTACAATTGAGGCTATCAGAAAAATATCAAGTGTGAAGGCAGTTCAGTTCAGTGTGTTTCAACTGGAATGAAAGCGTTTTGTTTTTCCTCGTTCTGTCAGTAATATTTAAATAATCGCAGGTCCCCTCTCCGCCCATCATCCTCCACCACCTCCACACACAACTTAGCAGCCGTGGCTTATAGTCCGTTCAGAGGAGACACCTGAGAACAGGCAGGTGCTTTTTTATTGTTTTCTCCAGCTGTGTGAAGCATGAAGTACCATTATGTGGCATAAAGTGGCGGCACGCTGCTCTTCGGTTGGGTGAGCGAAGGCTGCCACACTTCTTATGCTCACAAACACAACCTGTAGCAGTTTGGAAATATTTCGGTAGGAAATAAAGAGCAACAACACAGAGTTACAAATAAAGTGTGCAGCTGTAGCCTCTTAATTCAGGTAACAGAGAGAGAGAGAGAAACAAACCTGCTCCAGAACGGTACCGATCACTGGTTTATCTGTTGAGTTGTCACAATAACGAGCGAAATCTTAAATGTATGTGTGATATATAAAAGAAAAAGAGATGCAGTACCAATTGTCAGCACAACAAAAACTAGATAAGGTCAGGAGAAAGTTTTAGAAAATAAAACAAGGAGAGGGAAGTAGGTCAGCTATGCTAGCTTGACTTTGACAACTGTGAAATGCAGATTAGCTGCAGAATTTGGCGTTTTGCCTCCCATCGACTGAGAGCTGATATTTACACACATAAACTTTATGTAAAAAGTTTATAAGGATTAAATTATCTTCTGAGCTGATATAACCCAGATTCAGATTGAACTTCAACTTGAAATTAAGAAGAAAATAAAAAGAGAGAGAAAATCTTTTCCACAACTGAAACTTGGTTCATCAATTTTCTGACACATATTGGAAGCAAAGTAACAGGGACTCTTAGCCTTGTAGATTCACAGCAGAATAAATAACCAACCTGAATGCAACCAACTTTAATTTCCTTTTTTTAAATAAGATGTAGCTGCAGACGCAGTTGCGTTTTATATAAAAAGTTTATACGTTTTCCCCTCTATCCATGAGAATCCCAGGGCTCCAGTGCCAAACACTTAAAAATCTCTGCCATGTATCGGCTTTGTAAGTGACACGTACCTTTCTCTCTCCGAGCTCAGGTAGCAGACGAGGTGACAGGCCCAGAGCAGGGGACCCGCGTAAGTGCTGAGAGCTGTTAAAAAGATGGCAGGCGCTTCGATGTAGCTTTCCAGACCAACAAAGCCCACAGAAATGTCGATGGTGCCAATGTTGTTGGAGTTGCCCTGCGGGTGCACAAAGCAAACCTTTTAGAGCCCTGATGAGAGCGCAGAAATGACTGTGTACAGACAAAAACAAGTGCACACACTGGAAGCACTTAAAGAACGGGCGACTCCTTTCGCTTTTTAATTATCACTCTGAGACGCTGCCGACTTCCCGGCGAGCCAGTTGTGTCTGAGTCCCTGACCGGATCAGCACGCGCAGCTCTGAGGAACTGGGCTGGAGGTCAAACCACTCAGGACAAATTGGAAATGTTCACCTGTATATTTGCCAACAACAACAAAACAGGGAGCGATCTTGACAAAAAGATTTCAGAATTATATATAGATAGTGTAGCATAGTACATATATTTGATTTTATATTATACATTAGCCTCCTGCAAAACCAACAGGAATGCAGCAAGTTGTTTCTGAAACAACAAAACACTTGTCTGTTCCAGCGGCCGTTGTACAGTGGTTAAAAAAGCTGACCAATGGCTCTTTTAACCATTGCTGCGTGACAGTGCAGCTCGATAGTACTACCTTCACAATAAGAAGGTTTTTGAAACGGCTCATTTTCCAGACACCAAAAAAAACCATGAAGTTATTGTCACAAAAATGACTTGGACTGTTTTTAGAGGCAAGTAAACAAATGCGGAAAATGTAACTTTTGCATAATAGCTCCCCTTTACCATCAGTTTCTTTCAGCTCAACAAATGTTCACATCTTCTTGCTCTACCTTGTGCACCTTTACAGCTCTGTTTAAAACATTACAATTAAATCCTTTCCCACCGAGACCGAGGGAAGTTGAGACCGAGTCAAGACCAAGACCAGTCTCCAGTACAACACTGATACACGCTACCTTTTTATTTTGATTTCAGTTCACAATGAACGACAACTGCATTCAAGAGCCGGTTGTGCTTCTGTCGGGAACGTTCGTTTCTCCCTTTTCTTGCTCTCCAACAGACCGAACCTGTGAAGACCTGAACACGCCTCTGTCTGAACGCGAAGGCGGCGGCGATGTGCCGGGCCGCGTCTCGCAAACTAACGAGTTCATCTCCATCTGCGCGCACGTCTGTGATCGGGGAGGGAGAAACGCAAACAGCTGGCTCCGCTCTAAACAAACAGTAACTGTGAGTGAGCAGGTCGGAGGTTGCATATAGATGCTTCTCTTCTTGCTTTCTTGCTGGAAGTCCCACCGTTTTTGCTGTCAATGTCAATTTTTTTCCTCACACACGGCAAATATTTATTGCTTTTGAAAATGTAGTCGAGCGAGATGTTTCAGAAGAGAGAAAAAAAACAAAAGCACCTCAAATGCAAGATGTGAGCCAGCAGGGCTGGATGATGCATCTGTCTGATGGAGTCTGTACCAGAGAGGAAGAAAAAGTGGGAAAAAAATGCAAATTTCTGCCTTTATTGCTGCTTTGCACATCATCTGGTTTTTCAGATGACAGATCGCAAGATGAAGTTTCACATTAGCTTTAACATTTTGTCATAGTAGGAGCTACAAATCTATATCTGTTTTAAACTGATTTTATTACACAGAACACAAATTTTCTAAAGTCACCTAGACATGAAGCCCGCCACGGCAGTTAAAGGATGTTATGGACAGGTTAAAGTCGGGTTAGGTTGTAAAGAAATCTGCTTTGAAAGTGGAAACCTGCAGAAACTCGCTTGTCCACTTCATCCGATACACAGTGGTGGGAGAGTCGTTTCTTTTCTTCACCAGGGAGGGAGAAGCCTCTGATATTAGAGGAAACTAAATATTGAAAATCTGCCACAAAACTTTGGGCATAATCTAACTTGTTTGGCTAGAAAGTCCAGTTTCTCTGGGACAGGGTGAATCCCAGGTCCCGGTTCGGTTGAAATGAAGCAACGCCACAGCAGAGGGCATTCTGGGTAAATTCTACCTAAGCAAACAGTCCTACAACCCGGTTTTTTCTGGGAATGAAGTAACCTGGAATTTTTCCCATGATGCTCTGGCGTCTTTTAAAGCGAACGGATATTGACGAAACATTGTTAATATGTCAGAAACGCCTAAAAAAGGATTCATTTGGAGTCCAGCGATCACCAATTAAGTTCTAATCTTTTGTATCATCCCAGCCTAAATTTCACACGTTGCTCATTAACGAACCCATTAGGGTCGTGTCCTCTGGAGGACTATTGTTTTTCCACAGCTTTATAATTACAAGCCTGGACACAGAGGTGGGAAATTGTCTGGCAATGGAGAAATCCCGAGCCCATCAAGGCCTTAACGACCCGCGAGACAACGAGGGTCACTGAACGAGTGCGAGTTCCTTTGACGATGACGAACAGCGGCGAAGCAAATACCTGCTGTGGGCTGAGCTGAAATGAAGACATCGTGTCTGCTGGGCATCCGGAAGCATCGTCTGGAAACAAGCTTGCCCCTGATGGACGTTCGACCTCAAACACCGTCTAGCTTTTTATTACAGGCGAGAGCTTTGCTGAACGTCAACAGAGGCTCCTAGATCATCAAGTTAGACGTCTCTGAAAGTCAGTCGAAAACACCGACCACCTGATCAACCTGTTACATAAGGAGGCGAGGAGCCCAATGCACAGCTGCGTCAGTAGAAACTGATTCAATCTGCTACAGTTGATGTAATGAATAACAGCTGCAACATCAATTTGAGTCAGTTTTCCAACTTTTCATCACTTTCCTTTAGTTGTGTTTGTTTATTTTTGTTGCCTTTTTATATTTTCATTGCTTAAAGCATTTTGAATTTCTTTGCAGAAATGCGCTTTGCAGATAAACTGGCCTTGTCTCTCTAAAAAACAAACAAAACCCAAAAGCTTGCGCACAATGAGGTCAGTTCAATTTGAAAGCAGCTTCACTAAAATGTTTGCTCATGTTACATGGAATCAAATCATAATGACATTACATTGCTGCACTTAACATGGATGAACAATAAAAGGTGAGTTAATCCTATTTTGTTCAGTGATCCCAACAACAAACCAAAGGCACTTTGAGAGAAAAATCTTTGCCTCAGTGTATCATCATACGTGTATTAAAGAGCAAGAAACTATAAATGTTGAAGGTAAGAAAGTACGTAGTGATGTTCAGTGTAACCTTTTAATTCATTGGAAACTAAAAGATAATTTGGTGTTCAGGGCTCAGTAGAAGCAGGAAAGATTTCCACAAATGGAAGATGAAGACAGGATATAGCGAGCACTTTTGGAGCAAAGTAGAGGAGGACGGATCTGTCCTCACCCACTACAATCAATCTCTCCCTTAGAAGAAAACCTTCGCCCTGGGATTGTAAGAAAAAAAAAAAATCAGCACCTTGGGTTTAAGGGAAGAAAAAAGAGACATACTGTTCTGACCATCAGAGGAAGAGAGTTGGTTAGAAGTGGAGGACAAATTACGATGTCTATCTGATAGCTGCTAGCATTTTAGTTCATTTGAACTGATGAATGAACTGTAGAGTGATGGTCTGTAAGGTCTCCCAGCTACCGAACTCAGCTGTTCCGACTTCCTCCTCCTCACCGGACAAATATGAATACATCACAATTTCTCACAGTAAGCACATTTCTAAAGAGGTTAATGATATGACGTGTTCACCAGGTGCTGGCAACAACCCAAAAAATACACATAGGAAGAAAAAAAAAAAAATTATACAAATATAATCGGAAATTAAGTGATGTGTAATGATGTTAAATGATGCATGCAGAAAGGCATAGAAAGCCAAGATATTAGCGGTTTCAGCTGTTATCACTGAATTTGCCACTTGTTGGTGCAAATGGATGTCGGCTGGTTCAGTCTGAACTGATAATGACCAGACAAGGATCCTTGTGTGACACAAGGAACGTCGCATGATGAGTACGCGTGAACAACTGTCTCAAGACCTTCACAGCCTTGCAAAACATTCTGATGGTACTGGCTACAGAAAAGGATTTCTAAACTTCTGAACATGTTGAGGCGGTAATCTGGAACATCATTAGACCGGAGAACGGCCACGAGATTTCTGTCAGAGGATTGAAAACGGTTATCAGAAGAGTCGACCAACAGCCCAGGACTTTCAGAAAGACGTGAATCAACAGGTACAACTGTCTCAAAGAAACCAATAAGCAGTGAACTGAACTGCTTATTGGTGTTTTGGACACTCAACACCAAAAACACCACAGAGACAGTGAAGTTTGAAGGTGGGTACAAACACAGTTGTAAAGGGAAAGTTGTAAAAATTACAAAGGTGTTTAGCTTACCTGAAAGTAAAAGAAGGCTTGGCCAAACCAGTAGTGCATGATGGTGGTCTGGGCCGCGTCGTAGTGGAGCTTCTTCCAGATGAACTGAGCCATGAGCGTCTGGATGAGGAGTCCGCAGCACAGCACCGGCAGGTTATGGGCCCGAAACAAGAGCGAAACCAGCAGCACCAGGCCGCTGTAAATCTCCCACAACCCCCTGCTCTTCAGCTTCGCATCTGCCGTGACGATCTGGGATCTCAGCAGGTCCTTGGTGCCCGAGAAGAGGATGCCCAGGACGAAGACGTAGACGAAGCGCGCTTCCACCGTTCCCCTGGAAAGACAAGCAGACGGAGCTCGTCACGTCTGTCCCAGCAGGAACAGGACAGCCGCATCGATTGGTCCCGACAAAACGTCTCGGTCAATGTTCGGGTGACTGGGTTAAGAGACTCAGCGACGTGAACTCTGACTCTGCTTTGGAATCACAAATATGTAGACGGGGGATAAATGTTTGAAAAGCACTTGGTCTGGACTTCATTTCTGAAGAATGAAAGAAACAAAGCTTTAGCAAAGAAATTAATCAGAGTAACATCAATAAATCACAATCAACAAATTTTAAAGCTTGTGAACATCTCTGTGAAGAAGAAGATGACGTATCCAAGGTGGCACGGAAAACCTAAACTACAAATTTTTAAAGATTTTTTTTTTCTTCCAAAAGGAGCAGATTAAATAAACTTTAATATCAGACAAACGTAACCCAAGTACAAAATGTTTTTTTTAAGTGACTTAATTTATTAAAGGAAACTAACATGTCGCAAAAGCTAAATAATAATCATCATCATATTTTTAGTCCGGACACTTTATAGTATAAAGATAAAACAAAGATAAATATCAGCCTCTTCTGTTCAATCATGAATTAATGATGATTGATCACATTTTATTTGAAAATCTGATTTTTAGGGTGCATTCACACCAGCCCTGTTCGGTCCACTTTGATCAAGTTCTGGTTTGTATGTTTGTTTGAGAAGGGGAGTCTGGGAAAATGAAATTCTCATGTGGGAAAACCTAGACTTCGGTTCGGTTCAAGTGAACTCTGGTGCCGACTGAATGCAGCGTGGACCAGAGGCCGCTCCAAACGTTGGAAGCCGACTATAGGGCATGGCATTCTGGGTAATCACATAAAAATGAAACATGTCTATAGCTGGCAAGACAAAATGTTTCATTGTCTTCTGCCAACAACAAACTGAAGGTCCTACAACCGCTAAAATCTGGCATTACTCCATCTTTGCTTACATTTTATGACAAAGGAAGCGGTGCTCATGTCTTCTTCTGCTGTATTTGTATCGTCTTTTTCAGTGCCCCCACAGGCGAGGAGAAGAACAGAGTTTTAAATTAGCTTGGTTCGTTTGGCACAATGCAGCGTGAAAGCGAGCAGCACCGGCTCATACTTGAGTTTATACTTGAGGACTGACAGAATCAAGAAATCACTTCAATGTAACCTGTCTGACATCATGAAATAGACCAATATCTAAAAGGAAAAAAAAGAGCAACACGTCAACTTTGTACCCAAACCCATCTATTAAACAAACGGAGGAAAACAAAATATGAAACTATGACTCCATCTTTGCCCCGCTGTGGACTGTAGTCCGATGCATCAATGACGTGCTTTGTGCAGAATCCTCTGCAATATCTGTTCTGCAAAGATCACAACTTTAATTAAATTCATCTTCCTTCTTCTTGTTTAACAGGACTGTTCATATTTCTGTGACTCATAACCTTTGCTTCATTCGGTATGCGGTGTGTCAATGTAACATTAATAATTAAAGCCAGGAGACTGGAAGACGGAGCGAACCGCCGCAGGAAACAGACTGTCTCCCACCCATCACATTGTCAGTTTCTCAATACGTTTTGAGGAACAGGGCATTGAGATGCTCTGAGTGCATTTTGAGGTAAGGTGACATTTCATCAACTGTATTTTTCTTTTCTCTTTTTTCTATTTGAACGTCGTGCCGCGAGCTCATAAGACGCACGCGTAACGGCATGTTAAATTAAAATTTGCTTTGAGATCAAGTAGATTTAAGGGTTTCATGGCGGGGAAAAGTTTGAACTTTTCAGAGAAAGGATTCGGGAAGTGGAAGCTCGACGTATCAAAGATGGCTTGTTTTTGTTTGACGCCGTTTGTTTGTTTGCCAGCTGCATCCAAAACACCAGGATTTTTACATTCCTCCCCATCAGCTCCTGTGTGCGCCGAGAGTGACTTCCCCCTTTCTCCTCCACGTCCTTCTCTCTTCATGCAGGCGCCTCTGTGCCAGATCAATCTTCCACCCTGGGACTTCTCTTTATCCCAGGCTTGGCTATCAGTTCTTTATTTCAGATGTTGTACTTCTGCATCTCTATCTGCTTTAGGGTATTTTTTTTCCTCCGCTCTCGTCTCCCTCTACCGTGTGAATTTCACTGTCTTTGCCTCCTTTTCTGGTGTGTGTGTGTTTCTTCCTGCGAACGGTTTTATGCAATTTAAACGATCATTTTCGTTCAAGCAAACATTTTATCATTGAGACAAAATCCCAAAATATTAAAGCTTCACATAAATGGAAAATGCTCACAGAAATTTCTCTCTGAATTAGATTGTGGAAGAAATTGGGCATAATGTTATGATCGCTCACATAACATTATGCCTAATGTGAAGTGAATAACTCTCGTGATCTTTTAAATTATTTTTACATCACAGTTCATGAGTAAAAGCAGAAAACTCAGAAAGGCACAAGAATTTAAGTGGGTTTGACGCGAGATAAACCGTTATGGGTTGACAGCTGGGTCAGAACATCTCCAAACTGAAACTGTTTCTGGTCTGACATGGTCAGAATCTATTGGGTCTGATTTTTTTTAAACGAGCTTGTGTAGCTCACATTGCTGAGGAAGTCCATGCTGATTCTGAGAGAACAATTTGACAATCTTTGTTGGCATTCAGTGACAAGTAGAAAAAAAGAAACTTACCCAATTCCTCACTGTGTCTGGTGTTCGCTCTCAAAAAAAGTATCCATGTCTCCTGCACAAACGGACTAGTTGAAGAGAAATATCAACGTCACAGGGTTTTCTCCAGAAAACCTGCTGAGCCCGGAGGAAGGGGCACCAGGGCGGTCCACTAGCCGCGCACCGTGTTTTATACACTTGCTGCGCGCCCAGTAAACTATAAACCTTGCTTAATCCACCTTTACTAACACTGTGTATCAAAAAATAAAAAATAAACAAACGACGTTCAGCCTGGCGGAGAGGTAATTAAAGCCTGGCAACCCGTCAGGCTTATGACACACCTAGACATCAATGTCTACTTTCTGCATAAAACAAACTTCGGACCAATCACACAACTCATCCAACAAAACCCTGTGTGAAATACTTCGACCAGGGCCTTGCTATTACTGCTTAAGGGCCTCGTTATTATAAGTGATGACCGCGTTATCTTGTTTTCAGACCTGTCACTATTTCTCAAGGACCCACAATAAGTTTCCAATTAATATTGTCATCTAGAGATCATATTTGAACTTGTTTTCAAGTGATGATAATTTGTCATTTCATTACTTTACCTTGTTTTGCTGCTCTGAATATTTAACTTATTAGATCAAAATATGAAAACGTCAATCATCAAGATTTCATTCTGACGTTTTTTTTGTTTTTTTAAATCCCAGCAGTGACTTTAAAGGTTTTGTTTTTCCACAAAAATCAGTCCTTTAACTCAAAACAGCCGTTTTACTAACGAGTGAAAGAAAATTAACATAAACACGTAATGATCAACACGCATGTATTGGAAAGGAGTATCTGATCAGAATTTGTCATATTTAACCATCAAAGAAAATGTCGGAAACAGACGGGAACACATCTAGTGGTATACACTAGACTCATGACTCCAGTTTGTACCGGCTGCTCTTTAACTAAACTGCTGACTACAGAAATCTTTCCCGACTATCAATTATTTATATAGAGAAAAAGCCTTAAATTGAAGCTTTAGCGGACAAGTGCTTCCCATAATGAAGGCAATAACATTTAGTCTAATTTCTTCTGGGAGAAACGCTTATCCTGAGAGACTTGAATGAAAAAGTGTCAACCTAACCCCTCCACACGCACTCCTTACATGAAAACTGCTCTTTAATAAAGTCGTATGAATATTTGCTCAAACGATTGTGGATGAGTACACTCGCTGTAACGGAACAACACGAGAAACAAAGGGCTGGAAGAAGAGTGACAAAGATAAATTGCTTCATCCTGATTCATTATAGATGAAGGGAAAAGTGGGAGTATTAGGAGGTAATGAGGTTAAGAAAGCCACTGAATCTTTAAGCACTTACAGCCTGGAGGAAGTCAGATCTAATTGTATTCTGAGAAAATATGTGGAGATGAACGCAGCAATTAGGGGGAGAGTGCTTCACCTGTAAACCTTTTCCACAGCAGACAATGTGACGGCCGAACAACATGACGAGCGCAGGTGGAATTAGAGACACTAATGGCTTTGGTTCGGTCTGGATTGAGAGTGTGGAGTTTCCTCAACTCCAGTGACGATGCTTCTGGAAATACTTTAAGAGCAAAAGCACATTGCACTAAGATAACCTGAGCAAATACGATGAGTGAAAAAGTCATTCTCTTCTAAACTTAATAAGGTTAATAACTGGTTGTGCCGCCATTGGATACGGTGACCACCATCAAGTGTTTGTTATATCAGACAGTCGATGCGTTTCCATAGAATTGTGCAAATTGGAATTACGAAAATAAATTCGCTTCACGGAAACACGGCAATTTTGAAAAAAACTCTAAATTTGTGGTGAATGTTCACGAATAACAAAAATCAGTGAATAACTGACATTCCCGTCTACAAACATAGCCGCCGAACTTTAATAAGTCAAGCAGCAAGCATAGCTGAACACACATTAACATATTTGCAAACAGGCGGCGGTCCATTGTATGTGCCAGGTGAAACTAAACGTACATCTTCCAAAAAGTTCCATCTTCGTATCTGTAGCACACAATATATCTTCGATCAAGACTTGGTGACCATTAAGGTGTTTTTTTTGGGAAATCATCGCCTTTTATGTACTTTTTTGGTCAGCAGCAGTTTGGCCTCAGACTTTCTCATTCACTCCGTTTCACCTGGTCATTTTCTTATCAATGAATCATGAAACATCGTTTGAAAACTTCAACTGAATTTGGTCAAGTTATCTTTGTCTCCCATTAGAATTTCAATGCTGAACAAAAACACTTAAAAATGGCAAACAAGTAATGAAATGTGCAGAGGGCTGGGGGAAACATTTTTCTTCACAGCACTGCAACACCAGGAGTGAACTCAAC